TTCTGTAAAATGAGCTCGGATTGTTTATTGCATTTTGTGAATGTTGTGTCAATGTAATGTATCAAGTGTTTTTTTTGTTGCTGTTTTTTTTTTTTTTTTTTTTTTTTTTTTTATTAATAACATGGAATTCAAAACTTGTTATGCTACTTCTTTTATGACTTATCTTTGATGGGGATCTGGAGATTCGAAGATGCATTTTTAGTGTACTCTGCTTAAAAACATTTTGTTTATAGATTTCGTAGGTTAATAGATGCCTGGTAACATTTCTAGAGTTTCATGTATTCTCCAATTTATTTTCTGCATTCTTTTATCTGATTGCCTCAGTTGTGTAGGTTTTACAAGTATGCTTAAGGGTTCTTTTATTTTCTTTTTTTAATAAATTAGTAGAGAATTGTGGAATAAAATGGTTCTGTTTGGAAGTATTAAAGTCATGTAAAAGATGAGATACAGGATATCTTCTTTCAGTTCCTTCAGCTGAAGAGAAATGTTTTGCAGTGGAAACAGCAAACATAGGTGCTACAATGGGGAAAAGAGTACATTGTACAAGCATCTTAAAAAGGAATTTTTTTCATATCACTGTTAGGTAGCAAGGTTGAGTAATGCCATGTAAAGGGAACTGCCTCCTCCAAATACTCGCTTTCTGGTTCTGATGATATTGCTATGTCCCCATTTAAGATGTTGTTGACAGAACTTTCCTGCTCTCGAAGTTTTTTTTTTTTTTTGATTGGTAGCAGGTCATTTTATTAATTGAAGTAAGAACTTTCCATAAGCATTAGGTTCCCTGCCTGTAATTCCCCAATACAAATTTTCCCTATTAACCCCTTGTTTGGCTAGAGAATCAGCCAAGCAGTTTGGCTCTCTCTTTGCCCATAGAAAACTGAAATTCTTTAGTCTTCTGTGCCAGTTTCCTTATTTCTCTTAACATGTGTCGATATTGCATTCCTGCTCCTAAAGATAAAAGGCTTGCGTTGGGAAGCGGCAAATGGGATATTCCAGGTCAATGAGCACAATCAAGAAATTTCTGATCTGTATCCTTTTAGAGGTATCTTAATTGACTACATGCCTTGGGAGTGGCAGGTCACTGCATAATCTGGCCTAGCTAGGAACTTCATTTGCCACTGCTAGTACGCCAAATGGTGAAACCATCAACCTAAACATTGATGACTGATCACTGGGTAACCTTGGGCCATTGCCATCAGGTATGTCCAGGGAATGGGTAATCCTCAGTGGCAGCAGAATGGAAGTATGGGTGCAAATCAGGTGCCCATTTGAAGAATTTCAATTGCTTCAGGGCTTGTTTCGTTTCAAAATTTAAATCCTCAACCTAAGCCAGCCCAGTTGCAACCCTAAGTGGAATTTGTAAGGCAGTGGTGTAGGTGGTCTGAGATGGAAACTGGGGCAATTAGGGTTGGGTTTTCAGAGAGACTAGGTCTCAACTCTCAACTCAGGAAGATGTTGGGGAAGGGGAAGGATCTTGGAACCCCCCTGAAGGGAAGGGTAGGGGGACTATGCATGCATGCATGGAAGGAAAGATTCAAGAACATTCCCAACTCAGTTAGGGCTCAGATCCCTAGGATGATTCAGCAGGGACACGTGTCGAGTTGTAGAGTGGGGACCAACCACCGGCCTGTGCAGGCTGTCATTGTCACCTCCTCACGATCCCACCATGTGTCACTCATAGAAGCCTTGATGGTAGGTGTGATCATGGGTCGGGCTGGGCTGGGCTTAGCACCAATGATAAGGGCTTTAAGCTAGGCCTGGGCTCAGCCTAGCCCACACCCCAGGCCTATATTGCAAGCCCAAGTCTGGCCCTACACAAGCCTGGACCGGGCTTATGGGCTTTCCGGGCCTAATGAGTAATGACTTTGGGCCCATGACAGCAAATAATAAATATTTAGTTATTTAAATTTTGTAAATTAAATAATATGTAAATGTAATACATAAAAAAATTACACAAGTGAAAGTTAAATTGGGCTTGGCTTGGCTTGGCTTTACGCCTATGACACAAAAAATAAGGCATGGGCCTCATTCAATTGCTATGCTTGATTTGGCTTAGGTTACCTATCCTTTTATAGATGAAGGCAAGACCTTCATTCCCACTCTTCAGCGATGTGGGACTTGGAGCAACACTAAATAATTAGTGCAACCATTGAGTGTTTTCCCAAGTCCCACATTGCTTAGGGAATAAGAATTCCCTAAAATATAAGGCCTTGCTTAGGAGGACAATTCCTATACTTGAATCAACTCAAGTATTGACATGTGTTAACACGTTTCAATTCATAAATATTTATATATTAAAATAAAACTTAAGACTTTTATGTTTTATATAAAATAATAAACATTTAATATAAAATTAAATATACTTGTATATTAACATGTAATATATAATACATATAATATATAGGCCCAACCTTGGTCCAGAATTTTCCGGGCTTGATGCAGGCCTGGGCCCGGGTCGGGCCTGCCCACAAAAATCTGGGCCCAGGCCCAGAAATTTGCGGGCTGGGCCGAGCCGGTCTGGATTTCCAAGCTGGGCCAAGAATTATCACCCTTACCTGATGGATCATGCGTGCTGTATGGGAATTGCATGTCTTGTGCCTGTAAACTTTTTGCAAAAGTGTATAGGTGATGTGCTGCAGTTAGTAGCTGGGTTCTCCACATTCCGCAGTGAGTAAGCGGATTCATTCAAAGAGGATGCTTCCTTTCTTCAGGGGTTGAAATAATTCTTGTACATGGGATTTGTGGGGATTCTTCTAGTCTAGAGGATGACATAGATATGATGATTAGTTGGATTTTAACATCTCCTTGGATCCTCCTTAAAAATTTAAGAAATGCTCAACCCTATCCCACCCAAGTTGCAACCCTAAGTGGAAGCAACCTATAGGTCAAGTGATTCAGCTAGAGAGAGGACACTTCATTTTTCAGGGGTAGAGATGTTCCTTCTCCATGGGATTTGTGGTGATTCTTGTAGAGGATGATTCACAAATCATGATTAGTTGGATGTTTAGCACCTACTGGGATCCTTGGAGCTTGAGCGATTAAATTGGAGAGTTGGCATTCATGGATTATAGGTTGAATGCATTGTTCTGTTGATCTTTCTGGTAACTTGCTCACTGGAAAGGGAATGAGTAAACTTCTTTGCCTTGGGGTTCTATCCTTCATTTGGGGCCATATGGCTTTTATTAGGTGATCCAAAGAATACTGATGTTATGCTTTTCCTTTCCATTGTACAAAAGATGATAGAAAATGACATCCTAAGATCTAACATTGCAGGTCTGACCATTTAACAATATCCAGCAAAACAAGGGCCATCTTTAAGGTATCAAGTATATTATCAATAAGTTAGAGATGGTTTGCAATTTTGAATTGTTTTAGGCTCCTCACTTGTGTTCCTATTGCTCTGGTTGTCTACATCGAGGGGGTTCAATGTGTCCTCAAATGAGTCACTGTTTTAATCTAAATGGTAGATATTGCCTAGAAGTCAGTTAGGTCTGATTTTTTTTTTTTAATTTTTTTAACAAATTCGGATGCAGGGACTCTAAATTGCCTTTAACATAATTGACATTCAGGTAGTGTTGCAGTCCCCAAGAATGAGATTAAGTTTAACCTTCTAGATGATTCTAGGGAAAGAGGTTGCCTGAGATTGGAGGCTGGAGGTGACCAGTTTTTTTTTTTTAATCAATAACTGTAACTTTCATTAATTAAAGATTAGTTAAAAAGAGTACAAGTATAATTGGAGATAAAACAACTTATCTCCAACACCTAAAACCTTACAGTTGAGCCTTACAGATTTGATTTCTCTCAACCCCTTGTTTTGCCAAAAAATCAGTCATGCTATTAGCCATCCTTTGGACCCATTGAATTCTGATATCCATACCCATTTAATTTTTGTACACCCATGACATTTAACCACTTGACCACGTGTTGAGAACCACTTCTTCAATCAGTTTATGCACATCTAACTCCTTTGCTTTGACTATCCCTTCCACAACTTCCATTACCTCAGCCCTCAATGAATCCCCATGCCAATTGGAGCTGAGAGGAGTGCCACCACATGACCTGACTCATTTCTTAAAATGTGTCCTACACCTGAAGGGCCTGGATTCCCCATACTACTGCCATCAAAGTTCAGTTTTATGTGCCCCTCATCCAGTGGTGTCTAAGACATACTAATCCTGAATTTCAAAGATGATGGAGTTGGCCACTTCCAACCATTTCCTATAAAAGTCATCCACTGAGAAATCTGAAAACAGCTCTAGACTTTAACTAGTGAACAACTCTATTAGTTATGCATTCTATCAAGGCCTTCTTGCTTCTCTCTCTTTCAAAGAAAATTCTTGCATTTCTCTCTTTCCAATGTATCCAGGTTACTGCAGCCCTTGTACTTCTCCACATGATTCTACCTCGCTTCTTTAGCCAAACAAACAAAGTGGGACCGTAGAGGCTTGACACATTGGAAGGGGGGATCTGCTTACAACCAAACAAAGCAAGAAAACAATCCCAAATACTAGTAGAAAATGGATAGGAGATTAGTAAGTGAAACCATGATTCACCATTTGCCTTGCAAAAAACACACCAATGAGGAGATAAGCATGAGTGACACCTCCTTTTCTGTGGTGAACCATAGGTGTTAATTTCCTCACAATGAACCTCC